ACACACACACACATACACACACATACAGACAAATTAGCGCTTTATTATAAGTAATGATTACTCCATTTGCTTTGGCAGAGACATAAGTCTAGCATTATTGGAACTGGTCGGCGAATTTCCGCCAAATAAAGACAATTACCATATTCTCTTATTTTTCCCCATTTTGTTGTTCTTCACTCGTATCTACTTCTAGCCCATCTCAATTTTTTCTTATTGGATTCCACGATGTCGCAGTTCCAAGGCAACTTATTTGAGGAAGTTTGTTCAAGGTGTAGTGGTACATTTAATATGCAATGTGTTACAATAAGTGATGTTGGCTTAAATATTGGCATAAACTTCATTGATTAACGCAAGCATCATTACTAATTTTAGATACTGTCACTATGACTCAAAACGTAATCATTTCCGCCCTGTTACATCTTTACAGCGAACCGATGCGGATGACACGAATATGCTGGTATTAACCTGCAAAATTGAAATTATATTTCTAGAAGCTTTCTTTTTTCAGAACTATCACAAACACATACCACTTTCTTTCGTCCACATCCTATTATCCCTTTCAATCTAATTTGAATGTCTTTGTTCAAAATCAGGCACGTCCATGGTTGAACACAGCACAAGAATGCATTTGTAATTGCATAAAGATATGTCCACTTTCCAGCTAGGTCAATCTAAATTAGAGTCAAAATTAATTATATGAATAGTTGCCAACACGCAGTCCTCTGCAGGTGAGTTTATGAAGAGAACATGTAAGTGGTGTTGAGATAAAAGATAATATTACAATTACGGATTCCTCTTACCAGCCCTGCGTAATCCGGAGATTGGGTTAGTTGAATTAGGGTGTAGTTACCAATGTTGTATATGAAAATTAACAGGAACGCTACCATTAGACCAGCCACCTGGATGCTAAGGCGAACCTCATTTCGTCTCGTTCTGAAATTAAATTGGTAGGAGACTTTACATTTTTCTACCTAACCGCTACTCATTTTTTTTCCAAAAACTATTAGAAATCACCCCCCACCTTTTCCAATAAGGAAAGAATGGCTGTTTAGTTTTTGGAAGTGCCTAATGTTTTCCATTTTAATCGAAATGGTTTCCACTCTATCCATAGAAGACTTGAAAGAGGGATTAAAGGGCCCCTGTTGACTCACCTGTTGACTGGCATTTTCTTCCGTATCATATACAGAATTACTGGAATGTAGCAGAATGCACATATTATGAATGATATCACGACAGTAATGATTGACATCATGTTGACAACCTGAAAGGGGAAAAGAGGAAATTTGACAGAATGGAGGATCTTTGTTATTGTTGCCTTCTGGTGGACTATGAACAAAAGACGCGCAGCATATCTTTCATTTTCAACACCAAATTTATCATACTCTTTTAGAAGATCGTTCGCTGATAAAAGTGACTGGATAAGCATGGATTAGTACTCACAGGGTGGTGGCCTCTTTAGCTCTCAAATGCGGCTTAGTCACTCTACAAGGAGTAATTACCAAAAAAAGTATTATTTTCCGTCACATAATTCGAAATAGTGGCCCAAACGTTATCTATTTTTTAACAACATGTTTTGCAGTGTAGTATCGTTTGGGACATTTGCTACACTGAAACGGTATTATACATAAGTTCAAAATAATGAAGAAAAGTGATTGTTTTGAGAAACTGAAACAATCACGCGATTTTTTTTCAAAGAATGCTCGACTGAACTTCAGTTATTGATAAATAGCAAAGATTTACCGCAATGACATCAGTTGATAGCTGAATCTCTATGTCAACAGTATAAGTGGCCTGAAGACAAGACCAAAGTGGTGCAGTAACTAGAAGAGGAATAAACCAATGCAGCATCACAAAACGAATCGGCGGTGTTCCAGTCATCATCTGCAAATCACACATATCGTTTGTACTAACGACAAGGATTATTTTGTTAATTTTAATAGTCAGGGGATTTTTTAAGGCTCAATAGGTTGACATCAACTTAAGTGCAATTAGCTGATAGCTGCTATCTTCCAAAAAACCAAAATTTTCCCAAATAAATGGACATTTCCTGGTCACCAAAACACTCCTCATAAACTCTCCAACAGCTGATACGATAACCCTATTATTCAATACTTGGAAAATTCCCTTGAGTCAAACCTTTACGCACTGAGCTTTTTTATAAATGAATCCAAGAAAATTCCTTTGTCTGCCAATTTGCTTCAAAAAACTTACCATTTCAAATCTCGTTCCGTGTTTGCATACAATGACATATCTCTGTACTGATATCAATGTGATACCAAAATATCTGAGAAAAAGAGAGTAGTTTATTAGTATTATCGAACCATTGGCTAGAAAGTATCGATATTGCCAAAAAAATGAGTCACAGAATTCGGCATTGCGCAAAATTATGAAGAAGTCATAGCACAGTATAGAATATATATCAGCGAAACCCTAAAACGCATCAATAAAGAAGCAACTTGACATATTATGCAATTCTTGTAGATATGATAATGATTACCTGTGAAAGCATGAGGACATGAAATAAGGACAGTTTCGATCTTCGCCAAATTACTACCAT